TTGGTGACATTTATAATATATAGCTATTTAGAGTAAAAGTTTTTGGCTATTTATTTATTTTATGTGGAATGTCATATTTGAAAGGGTATATACGTTTTTCGCATCAGTATTTCAATTGTTCTTTTTACTGTATATTTCTTTTTCTCATAAATTAGAAAAATTTAACGCAAATACTGACAATTTTCTGAATCTTTAAGCCCGTAAAAAGAAATATAAATTACCTGATCACGAAAAAGTATATACCTTTCCAAATATGAACATTTTCACATATAAAATAAATAAAATATCCAAAACTTTTACCTCTAAATCATCTATTACTTATACACGTCCCCAACGAATTCATACCGCAACTATTACAAATACTTAGTGTCAAATTTAATTATTTCCTGCACGTTTACTTCAACTAAACGTATACCAAATTCCTACAAACCAAATTCACAAAATACTATCATTTAATTAAAATATCGCTAAACCATGTACACGTCGACTTTTTTTTTCTTAAAATAACGAGTCAAAGAATTGCACAAAATGGCATTACGCACACTCTTCACCATATCCATGTACACTCTTTTTTCTCGTAAATTAGAAAATTTCACGAAAATACATGACAATTTCTGAATCTTTAAGCCCAGTAAAAAGAACATATATGAAATTACCTGATCACGAAAAGTATATACCCTTCCAAATATAACATTTTCACATATAAAATAATAAAATATCCAAAAACTTTACCTCTAAATCATCTATTATATATAAATGCACCAACGAATTCATACCGCAAGCATTACAAATACTTATTGTCAAATATTTAATTATTTCCATGCCTTTACTCAACTAAAACGTATACCAAATTCTTACAAACTAAATTCACAAAATACTATCATTAATTAAAATTCGCTAAACCATTACATGTGACTATTTTTACTTAAAAAAAAATCCCAGAATGCACAAAAATGGCATACGCACAACTCTTCACCAATCCATGTAACTCTTTTTTCTCATAAATTAGAAAAATTCAACGAAAATCATGACTTTCTGAATCTTTAAACCCGTTAAAAAGAACATATATGAAATTATAAAAGGAAAAGTTATACCCTTTCCAAATATGAACATTTCCACGTAAAAAATAAATATCCAAAAATTTTACCTCTAAAATCTATTATATTATAAACATCACCAACGAATTCATACCGCAAACATTACCAATACTTAGTGTCAATATTTAAATATTTCCATGCACGTTTACTTCACTAAACTATACCAAATTTCTACAAACATAAATTCACAAATAACTATCATTAATTAAAATATAATTAAATTCAAAACACTAATTAAAATATAAATAAGCACATACATTAAATTAATAAAAATAGCTTAAATCCTAATTACTTTAAACTAAATCATTGCTAATAACAATTTTCCCCAATAATACCAATTATTTACTTCCATCTTACTTAGAACAATTATAAAAATAATATCCTCAAATAATTAAAATACTAACTTACCTAATCTTCTTTAGAATCTTGATACGTGTCCGATAAACTTTTTTTTTTCCTCTGCTAAATAAAACAAGCTATGGCGCCCTTTTTCAGGATCTTTAAAATCATACTTATTCACAGCAAGGTACCAGGTAAAATAAATAACTTAATAAAACATCTTTACTTCTATCTCACACAACCTAAAGAACTTATTACTACGCCTTTCATCCCACTAATACACATTTTGAATTCCTTTAGTTAGGCCATGGGATCCAAAATTAATAACACTGTTTCACACAACCCAATAAAGCTAAATACAAAATTTCCAGATTTTTTCCGATTTCCCCCCTTTTCTGATTAAAGACTGTATTCGCGTCCATTAATATCACATGACATATCCCATGATCTCTCATTTACCTCCACACAAATAATGCGTATCGGAACTGAGTACCGCTCACATTATTACCAAAGTCCCAGGTAGTAACCTTTATCGCCTCCAAAATGTCGCCAAACTACCAGTTACCATATTCTAAAGATCAGCCAAAAAAACTGGTGAACTGTTTGCCCAGATGTCACAAAGCTTTCATAAATACTGCAGTATATATTACAAAATATTAAATGACAGAAATACTACAATATTTACTAATATGTACAAATTTCATTAAAGCATACGAAGATATTGCGAGGTAACTTTCCTGGGTAAAACTTTACTCTATGGTACCCTTTGGAGAATCGTTTCTTTTTTATGGCAAGATCAGTGCCAGGAAAGATCGGCAGCAATTTCAAGATGGCCGCTACACGAAACTAAAATAAGAAGTCAAAGACTTACACAAACTCGGTGTCAATGTACACATCAACCTATTTTCACTTAAAAAAACACCAGAGAGAATTGCACAAACTAGGCATTGTGCACACCCTTAACTTTGTCCACATACACATCGACCTATTTTCACTTGAAAAAATCAGGGAAACTATAGCAAAGATAAAACTATCATGGTATCCAGAAAAAAAAATCGCCATTGTCTTAACACACAGAGACGAACAAATAACCAAAAATACACAAACAGAGAGGAATAAATAACCAAAATTATATATTTCCTAACATAAAAACATTAAACAACAAATCTTTTGACAAAACTAGCAGAGACGAATAAATAAATGAAACGTCAATTTTTTAACATACGTTTTTTTCACATGCATACATTTAGGCTTCCCACCAACATCTCCATCCTCCAGGTAAGCAATTCAATTAAATTTTTTGTCGTTTCATCTCCTCTGCTCTTAATCAACATTCATCCTCTTATCCACCCCAGATATACTCAAATGATAGTACCCCCAGCAAAATAATAACAAGTTCAAAATCCAAGGAAACAGCACACATGTGCAAGCTAACACAACAACTGAAAAGAATAGTAAGAACCAAAAGCCTGGGTCTATACGAATGGGTTACTATTACAAAAAAGCACAGCAGGCTTCTAGATTTCACGAACAACCAATACCGCTTCAAGATTTTTTCAGAAAAAAAACCAAGGGGTATAAAGAAGATTAGCCCTTTTCTGTTAGTTTTTATTATTGATTTAAAAAAAAAAGTTTTAATAGTTTCATAAATGGAGTTTTGCTAAGAGAAATTTACGGATAGTATTAAAAAATTTCCATTCTAAAATATTGATTTTTTTTAATGAATAAAGCAATATTTCACTGAAACTCGTGGGCTTACAAACACTTTTGTGAGAAACTGTACCATAGTTTAAAGGGCAGTTTTATTGGGACCAGATTCAGAAATGAATGTATTTATGTATATGCATGTATTTGCATTCATAAGTACATACATACATACATATCAAGGCTCTATTAACCATTGAAAAATATAAGCACATGCTTAGGGTATCAAAGAAAAGGGAACACCAGAAAAAGGTCCTTGGGTATTCAGGAAAATGGGCACCAAAGAATTTCCATTACTGGTTTTACTGTGGAATGCATGGTACAGCTAAACCAAAACCGAGAGAGAGAAGGAATGAAATAAAAAAAAATTTGCTGTAAACGTATTTATATGTATATATAAAATCTTTCAAGTGATTACCAGCTCTAAAATTCTTAATCAGGACTGACACATAACTACATTTCTGAATCCAGTCTTAATAACATAAGACCCACCAGCGGCCGAGCGGTAAAGATGCTGAACACTGGTAGTTAAGTCCAAGGTTTGAATTCCGTGAACGGGCTGGCTGCACGGGTGTTTTCATGGATTTCCCCCTGTGTAACGTGTATACAAGCCAGTTTCCCTTAGAAAGTCCTCCACGAAGGCATCCCTCCCCTTAGGCAGATAGCCCTCGAGGCTTTGCCATAATTAAATAACCTAACCTTAATAACATAAAAGTACTAATCTCACTAGTCAAGTGTATATAACATGTGGCATGCTTAAGCATCGAATATGCCCACTGCAACTTCTTGTCTGTATCGTTACTATTGTGGAAACAAGAATTACTACTGTGAAAACTAGAACTGTGAACTAATGTCGAGAACTATTATGGACTACTAACTACATACCTATGCTCATTATTATTACTAAAGTATATTTATACTATAAAAATATATTATACTATAATAATAAAATATTTTATTTATTACTAAAATATATTTTAATCAGCAAAGGTCAAAACTACATACCTAATATTATTTTATTAATATCTTTGATTACTAAGAAACAAAGAAATACATGAGTAGTTAACATATAATCTTCAACACCTTATGCATAAAATCTCGATCCTGCATTTGGCTAAATATAGTATATATTGTGATACAGTCTTTCCTTACTGAAAAGTATATTTAAAATTTATGTCCCTTGTCGTCTGACGATAAAAAAATGAGATACGCAAGTTCAAATGGGAAAATACTAATCAAATGAAAGCGCAGCAAAACAAATTACAGCCATCTCACACTTAACAATTTCAGAATGAAAGTTATCGTTGTAGAAACCTCAAAATTGATCCCTTTATACACGTTCCGTCTCTTTTTTTTTTTTTATCGAAACAGAAACAAATTTTTACATGCGAAAATTGCTCCAATAATGCTAAATGAAAGTAAATTGCTCCTTTTTACGTAAAACAAATGGTTCTGGGATTAATGACATGAAAATAAATTATGAAGACTTACTTTATTGCGTTTCATTCCATTTTACTTTATGTTTTTTTTTTTTTTTTTTTTTTTTTTTTTTTAATTACCGACTAGAAATCAAAACCAAATATTTCCTTTGCGCTTTAACACGCCACTAAATGCCACCTCCCTCGTACTCGAATGAAAATTATCAATTAAATTTACGAACTACAGCAAATTCCTCAATCAGAATGAATATTAATATTTTTTAAAACAAGTTTTCAGTATTCTTATTATTAAATACAAGAAAAGTTCATGACTATAATTATCAAGAAATATTTTTTTCTTTGAAACATAACGTTAAAAAACAAGGAGAAAAACCATGCAAAGCAGCGCAGCATAACAACGATCAAATAACCGCAACTGTAAAACGGAAGCACGAGGGCGGACGTAAACAAACAGTTATCTCGAAGTAAAGTGTTTTAATTTTTTTGTGAAAAATGAATGACACCGAAACTGTCGTCGAAACTACGGCTTCCGATAATGTATTAATGGAAATTGTTATCGGAACATATGAAAGATTTCTCCTTGGTTATAATTTGGAATTAGAATCTGAGGTAAATTCTTCTTCCTAATATTTCATAAAAAAATTTTGAAGGTACTTTGTATAATGCTGTATATATTAGAGCAGCGATTCTCAACCGGTGGTACGCAAAGAAATAAAATGTATTTAACTGTTATGTTCAAAAGTCTTGTGAAGAAAAAGAGCAATTAACAGAAATTTCCTCGATCTAACTCGAAGATTTCAAAAATAACACATTTATTAACTTTTGGCTGAACGGAGAAAAGAATTTAAAGGCATCTCAAATAAAGCTATAAAGTTTTTATTGCCGTTTTTGCACAATCTGTCTGTGCGAACAAGGATTTTCATCCATGCTATGTTCGAGAACAAAATTAAAAGTGGGTCGCAATTTATGGTTAAAGCTAATTGAAATAAGGCCAGACATAAAGAAATTCATCTCTCTTAAGCAGACACAAATTTCACCCTAAATTTTGGAATTTAAGCACTATAACTTATTTTGGTAATTAAAATGAAAACCAATTTTTAATCTAGCATTTTTATATGTATACATATATGTAATACAACAAAATAGCCAGTAGGTAGTGCAAGTCGCAAAATATATTATTTTTTTTAATATTTCTATTGAGAATTTGAAAAATAATCATTGCAAAATATAATGGTGGTACTGAAGTTTTTCAATTTTTGTTTAGGTGGTGCGCGTTAATCAAAAGGTTGAGAACCTCTGTATTAGAGTGTAAAATAAATTATTTATTTCGCTCTTTTATAAATTATATAGTCATTTACAGTCAAAAGTCGTTAATTCAGACACCTATAATCCGGACCTCAAAGCTACAAACTTTCTTGCACATGCGTAAACACATTATGCGTTGTGCATAAGACTCATTAGGGCTGCGAATATGCTGTACGCATGCGCATAATACATTTACGCATGCACACGTTGAAAGAAATGTATAACGGATGGTTATAAGCTAAGCTAAAATTATCTAATTCAGTTAATGTTGCAGATTGCGTTGTTCCTTAATCTTCGGGTTGGATCCGGCTTATTGTTTTTTGCAGACTTTTAGAGCAATTTTATAAAAGTAAGCTTGAACTTTCGATTATGTCAAATAGAATTTCCGATATATATTTATTAATATGTAGAGGATCTACAAAGCAAAAGTATGTTTCGAAATCCATTAAACAGAAAATGGAATTGCTACAAAAAATGGATAAAGGTATATCCTTTGATTATCTAACCATTCCGAAATATGTTTATCAATTTCACGCTGCTCTGCGGGGGGAGGGAAACGACGCGGCATGCAATGAATTGGAAGTTGATCTGTCAGCACTATCTTTATCTTCAGGGCAGATGTTTTTATTTTATTTGGCTTATAATTCCTTACTAAATGTAATATTTCATTTCGATGTACTCCGTCTTTGATATGATTTAAATCAAATTCCTCGTCATTATAATTCGCTTCTGATAGTGAAGAAAGTGACACAGAGGTTATTGAAAATGAAAAAATTTCGATTGACAAATTAGTTGGTATTCTCGATACAGCAATTATAGGACTTGAACAGCGGAACTTTGTAAATGAATAAAAATTATGTCTGTTTATAGAATTAAAGAGAATGTATTATCACATAAAAAACAAAGCAACTTAAACAACTTACATTGAAAGAAACAAATAAATATTAAGCTTTTTTTTTTTGTAAATTTTGATACCCTTTAGATCATAATTGTTCTTTATTTCATAAATTACGGTTTCATATTTTTAATTTTAATATTTCTGCATGCCATCCTATCAGATTTAAACTGATGATCTAGAATCCGGAAAAATCGATAATCCGGAATCGCCAAAGTCCCGACAAGTCTGGATTAACGACTTTTGACTGTATTAATTAAGGTATATGTATAAACATTGTGTTATGTTTTTATTCTTTGTTCTGTATGTTTTTATTCTAATAAAATTTGAGGCTAATCATCAGTTGAATTTATAGCTAGAGGCAATTCTCTGAACAGTAATATGCGACAGTGATAAAGAGGAAAAATAAGTCATACAGTATTTTAAAAATTTATGGGGAAAAGTCGGGAGAAGCAGATCCTTCTTCATCTTCCCTGAAAAGTGTGCAGATTCAGTTTTCATTAAATTAAAGCCAATAAAAATTGTTATTTATATTATAGGAGTGTTGATTCTTCGTTTATTATAATTTTCATTTTTATTATACGGGATAGATTTTATAAATTAAAATGCACCTCATTCTTGTGGAATGTTATCTTTAGTGTGCTCAGTCATAAATAAATAATCTAATCCATATCTGGCATATTAATTATTTAATAGTCTAGTGATTGAGACTTGAGTTCCAATGTACTGCAAACTGGGTTATTTAATTTATATAAAGAAAGCTCACAAGGGCTATTTGTACAAGCTTCATTTCTAATTTTTCTGAAGAATGCCATAGAGAATGGTATCTTAGGGATTCATATCACTGTTGTACACACTGCTTCGCAAAGGGGCTTAAGTGTTCCCATTCTGCAAAGATATCGACTAATATCCGTACCTGGCCTGAAATATGAATTCATGCGTTGATGACCATGCGGTGATAAAAGGAAAATATAATAAGTAATGATTTGCCGGGTTGGCATCAGATCAACGATGTATCTATGTGGAATATTTCGTTTTGAGATGTGTGCCAAGCACAAGCGCAGCAACAGAGCCAAATTACTGATTGTACGAATTTATGCTAAAATGATTTTTTTCTTCTATAGCAAGGTATTTTATTTAGTGTGGAAGTGAAATTAAGAATCGGGATTCTCCAGATATTTTATTATGTGCGAAGGGAGGGAATTAAACACACATGCGTAAAGCCTCTGAGAAAAATGTTGTTGGTGGTTTTGAAGTCCGGATTTTAGATCATTCCGGATAATGGATGTCCGGATTTCGGACTTTGTGCTGTATTATAAATCTGGCAAGCACTTCATATGAACTCTTGGTTAGTGTAGTGAAATATTTGGCATTGAGTCTGGTCCTGATAACGGAAAAGTACTGAAAGTCATGCCACTCAGAGGATGCGTACTGTCTCTAATGATTAAGCTCATGTGGGAGGATTTAATGTACAAATCAGTAAAACTTTAGTGAAGAATGTAGTAACTTCACAGTTAATGTAAATATGCACTTTCAGTGGTGCATAGGGCCGGAGCAATTTCGGGCCAATCGAGAAACTCGAATGATTGAATCGACACAGATGACTCAGCGAGATAGCCTTGCATGTGAGGAAACATGCATAGAATTAATATTTTCACTCAAAAGTATATCTTCGAATGATATACAAAATGCACAGATACAACAAATGGCAAAATCTATTCTGGATAAAATATAAAATTTTGTCTGCTCACGTATATTTGAAAATATTTCAATATGCTAAGCCGGTAACGAAATATTATGAAAGACGAAAGGATTACATTACATCCTAGCATATAATATGGTTAGAGAGGCTACAAGCTCTTCACTAGCCATTTCTAGAAACTTCGATTTAATATTTAATGCATCAAAATCATTTGCAACGGATTGCAATAATAAACTAGAATGGCTAGGTTGTGATACATTTGTCTTCAACAACTACCTGCTAGAAGATGCTGAAAAGTGAAACAAATGGACGACAAAGGATCATCCAACTATAATTTTAATTGCTTTTTCAAACAATTCAAAATTAATGTCTTTAATTTTATAATGGATAACACCATTTCATCGATTGAACGTAGGTTTAAAGGGCATAAGAAGGTGTATTAAGACATATCGCTTCTCGATCCCAAAAACTTTTTGAAGCCATCGTCGCCGAACTCTTGCGACTATTCATCTATATTACTAGGGCACTATGCAGGTGTAATAATTGATAATCTTAAGGATGAATATCAGAACCTAGTAATCAAATGGGAAATACAGTCAAAAGTCGTTAATTCGGACACCCATAATCCGGAATGATCTATAATTCGGACCTCAAAGCTACAAACTTTCTGCGCATGCGTAACTTTGACGCATGCGTGTAAGACCTTTACCACTGCGAATTTGCGTGTGCGCGTGCGCAAAATACGTTTACGAATGCGCGTTTAATGTATAACGGACGGGATAAGCTAAGCTAAAATTATCTAATTATCTATATCAGTTAATGCTGCAGATTGCGTTGTTTCTTAATCTTCGAATTGGATCCGGATTATTATTTTTTGCAGACTGTTAGAGCAATTTTATAAAAGTAAGCTTGAACTTTCGATTATGTCAAATAGAATTTCTGATATATATTTACTAATATGTAAAGGATATACAAAGCGAAAGTATCTTTCGGAGTCCATTAAACAAATAGTGGAATTGCTGCAAAAAATGGATAAAGGCATATCCTTTGTTTATCTAATCTTTAACGTTTGTTTATCTAAACTTTGTTTATCTTTAACGCCCCAGTGGCGTGCAATGAATTGGAAGTTGATCTGTCAGCACTATCCTTATCTTAAGGGCAGATGTTTTTATTTTATTTGGCTTATAATTGCTTACTCAATGTAGTATTTCATCTCGTCTTTGATATGATTTAAATCAAATGCCTCGTCATTATAATTCGCTTCCGATAGGGAAGAAAGTAACAGAGGTTATTGAAAACGAAAAAATTTCGATTGACAAATTAATCAGTATTCTCGACACAGCAATTATAGGACTTGAACAGCGGAACTTTGTAATTGAACAAGAAATTATGTCTGTTTATAGAATTAAAGAGAATGTATTATAACATAAAAAACGAAGCAACTTAAACAACTTACATTGAAAGAAATGTTTAATTAAGTAAACAAATAAATATTAAGCTTTTTTTTTTGTAAATTTTGATACCCTTTAGATAATAATTGTTCTTTATTTCGTAAATTACGGTTTCATATTTTTAATTTTATAATTTCTGTATGCCATTTTACCAGATTTAAACTGATGATCTATAATCCGGAAAAATCGATAATCCGGAATCGCCGAAGTCCCGACGAGTTCGGATTAACGACTTTTGACTGTACTAAATTAACTTGAAAATCATTATTTGGAATCTGATACCAAGTCAGGAGAGAGTGCTCTATCTATTAATGAGCATTCATTCAAAGCTATATGCAATTTTTTCAAAAATTGTGTCTTGTCTGTATATAAATTACTCTTTAAATATAATTTATATAGTAACGCGTATGCCAACATCTTTTTTGCTTATAAGTTTGTACTCACTCTATATATAGCGCAATTTGAATGCTGAAAGAGCTTTTTCAAAATTAAAAATTGTAAAAAGTAGAGTATTCTGAAGCAAGCTAATTTAGAGTCATTACTATTGATGAACCTATAGCAGGATATTTAGGCTAAAGCAAAAATTTAAGATATAATGCAAATAATTACCCAGGCACCTGGAATTTAAAAATATTTAAATGGCTAATTATGAATCAACTGCTGTTTTGTTTATTCAGTACAAAGTCTTTAATCCAGACGTCCGTAATCCGTACCTCAAAGCTACAAACTTTCTGCGCATGCGTAGCATTTATGCATATGCATATGCGCATTTAATGTATAATGGACGGTATAAGCTAGGCTAAAATTATCTAATTATCTCTTTCAGTGAATGTTGCAGATTGTGTTGTTCCTTAATCTTCGAATTGGATCCGGCTTATTTTTTTTTGCAGACTGTTAGAGCAATTTTATAAAAAATAAGCTTGAACTTTCGATTATGTCAAAAAGAGTTTCCGATTCTGGAGCTGCCAAAGGATCTACAAAACGAAAGCATGTTTCGATGTCCATCAAACAAAAAGTGGAATTGCTGCAAAAAATGGATAAGGGCATGAAGAAAGTGACCTAGAGGTTAGTGAAAACGAAAAAATTTCGATTGACAAGTTAGTCGGTATTCCCAGCACAGCAATTACAGGTCTTGAACAGCGGAACTTTGTAACTGAACAAGAAATTATGTCTGTTTATAGAATTAAAGAGAAAATATTAGCACATAAAACGAAGCAACTTAAACAACTTAATTTAAAGAAATGTTTAATAAAGTAAACAAATAAATATTAAGCCCCCCCCTTTTTTTATTTTTGTAAATTTTGATACCCTTTAGATCATAATATTCATTTATGATCTCTTTTATTCATAAATTACAGTTTCATATTTTTAATTTTATAATTTCTGCATGCCATCTTACCAAATTTAAATTGATGATCTATAATCCGGAAAAAACCCTAATCCGGAATCGAAGTCCCGACGAGTCAGGATTAAAGACTTTGTACTGTATAATTATTTAGTCGCTGTTATTTATTTCTCTATATATATATGAATAAAGTATTACTTTTCTGCAAAGATATATTTTTATTTTATAAAAGTACTTTTATGATGATAACAATAACTTTACATGTATATGGAATACTTAGTAATAATAACTTTACATTCCATATGGAACCTTAGGGCGACATATTTTTCCTGCCACGGCTGATTTCTTTGGCCAATCTGCCACCGTGCACTTTTTAGAGCTGATGCTAAATATTTGTTGCCTGATACAATATCTTCTGTGCTTGAATTCTGCTGCTCTTTACCTCTAAAATGTTACCACCCCCAAATTCTACTGTATCATCTGCATAGACTTGGCACTAGCACTAACACTTACTAGTTACTAAATACATGAAGCAGCCACATTGTCAAAATGCAATACTATTACAGGTCCTTTGTTTTTTAGAAACAAGCGTAGTTTGAAGGTGTGCATGTACATTGTGATTAACTGCATCCCTACAGAAGGTAATGAAAAAGTATTGATGAAGTAAAAGAATTTTAGAATTATAATTTAATAATCAGACAAAAACATTTGCTAAAAGAAAAATACTTTTTATTTATGAAAAAAAAAAAAAGATACAATTTGGCTATGTGTCAATACTGAAGCTTAGCAGTGTTTTCTAGAACAAAAATTATGTAAGATTCTATGAATAAGATCTCCTTAAAAAAAAAAAAAAAATGTAATATAGTTTTTGTAGTGATTTGCATAGGAATGATTAGCACTAATTTATTACTGTTAGAAACCTTTTTTGAAACTGATATTTTATTTTTAGTTGCATGCTGCCCAGCCAGTATAGTGGTTAGTGACCCTGACTGCCATAGCGATGGGCTCGGGTTCGAATCCCAGAGAAGGCATGGTATCCGTTCTTTTGTGGAAAGCAACAGTGGTTTGTAGAAACCAACTCAACGTTAGGTGCTCCCATAATGAAATGGCCACCACTTGTAGCCCCTGTAGTAGTGCAAGGCTAATGGCTGTTAAATAAAGCACCCGGCCATTGAAAAAAACAATTTTTTTAATTGTGTACAAATGAAAACATTTCACTCATCTGTTTGCTTACAGCCCTTGAAATCGCCACAAGCACTAAATATCTTAGTTAATTTTTGCCAGATATTTGTCATGCTTTTATATTTTAAATTTTATAATAATTGGTTCAGAGTGGTTTAGTTTTGTTTACAGTTTTCCAATTGGCTGTTAAAAGCCTCTAATCTGAAATCAAATTGAAATTATTGATCAATTCAAGTTTTATGCAAGCTTTGTCATCATTAGCCTTATGTAAGCATCATATAACATGGATTAATTTTGAAATGATCCATTAAAGAGGTTTATTTTAGACAGTAACTATTTTTAAAATAGAAAAGGGAAATAGTACCCAAATTACTGTGGACAGTTAAGGATTATTGCAAATTAAAGTTAGAATTTTTATTTTTGTTTTTTATCCTACATATATATAATCAGTTATTGATAAATCTTTTAATAATTCTCTTCATTGTTTACATAATTTCTGTGTGTCTTTTTCAGAAATTTTCTTTAAAGCAGAGCTTTTCAGAACATTCACATCTGCAATCTGTAAGATGTATTGCTTCAAACAACAAGTTACTGGCTTCTGGAAGCATAGATGAAAGAATCCAACTATATAATATGAAAACACGGAAAGGATTAGGAACTCTTATACAACACAATGGTTGGACTTAATTTTTTCCCCTAATAGTTCTATTATTGTAAATGAAAATTTAATGTATTAAATATTATAAAATGTTAACAATTTATGATTGTACTGTTATTTAAGCCCCTGCTATTGCAGTTGTTCTCTGTTCAATTTTCATATTCATTATACTATGTACTTAAAAGTATTCAGGCATTTTGACTTTTTGAATCTCTCACAAATAACTAAAAAATTATTATGACATGGGTCCGGATTTACTGTGATTCTGCTGATTGTTCTGCTATTCCTGCAAAAGTGCTGTTATTTAGTTCTTTTGCTAAAATGGTATGGTCTAGATTGCAGTTGAAATTCCATTCATTCTTGAAGGGATCTGTTATGTTAAGTTGTGCTGTTGTTCATCACATAGCATTATGTGTTGTATACAGTCAAAAGTCATTAATTCGGACACCCATAATCCGGAATGATCTATAATCCGGACCTCAAAGCTAAAAACTTTCTGCGCATGCGCCGCGTTGACACATGCGCATAGGCGTTTACGCGTGCGCATAAGACCTCTTACGACTGCGCATTTGCGTGTGCGCAAGCGCAGAATATGTTTTCGTGTTCGCGTTTTATGTATGACGAACGGTATAAGCTAAAATTATCTAATTATCTATTTCAGTTAATGTTGATGATTGCGTTGTTCCTTAATTTTTCAATTGGATCCGGCTTATTATTTTTTGCAGACTGTAAGAGCAATACTATAAAGGTAAACTTGAACTTTCGATTATGTCAAATAGAATTTCCAAATCTGGAGCTCCCAAAGGATCGTACAAAATGAAAGTATGTTTCGATGTCCATCGAACAAAAAGTGGAATTGCTGCAAAAAATGGATGAAGACATGAAGAATGTGACAGAGAGGTTAGTGAAAACGAAAAAATTTCGATTGACAAGTTAGTCGGTATTCTCGGCACGGCAATTAACGCGACTTGAACAGCGGAACTTTGTAACTGAACAAAAAATTATGTCTGTTTATAGAATTAAAGAGAAAGTATTATCACATAAAACGAAGCAACTTAAACAACTTACATTGAGAGAAATGTTTAATAAAGTAAACAAATAAATATTAAGCTTTTTTTTTGTAAATTTTGATACCCTTTAGATCATAATTGTTCTTTATTTCATAAATTACGGTTTCATATTTTTAATTTTAGAATTTCTGTATGCCATCTTACGCGATTTAAACTGATGATCTATAATCCGGAAAAATCGATAATCCGGAATCGCCGAAGTCCCGACGAGTCCGGATTAACGACTTTTGACTGTACAAGATTACAGTCAGGCTGAGATGGTAGTGGATTCTGTGTTTACAGATTCTTGCCGCAATGTGGATAGTGCAGAATTGTGTAAAATTGAGAAAAGCATGTGCGTTTATTTTTTCCATCCTCATTTTGTTTCCATCATCATATTGTTTACATCCATTAATGAACAAGCCAAAATTATGAGAAACAACAACTGCTTTATTTCCACCATCGAGCTTCATTCTAGACTAAATGTAGCTAGACATATGTCATTCATCTGGTATTCTTCCTTACTTTCATGCTGCTGTCAGTAGCAAGATTTGATACTCCCTAGGATGTGTTACCATTGGCAAAAGTTCTAATACTCTTAATTTTACTCCACTGTTATCAGTGCTTGTCATTGTTTGGGTTAATTTTCAAAGCACCATTTCACCTACCATTTTGCACCACGAGTCTTATTCATAGACTTTCCGATGCAGTACAGAAAGCTTTACCATTTCATAGTGCATGATCATTGTGTTGGAGATGCATTCAGCATCTTGAAATTCACTGTGGAAGTTTTCTTCTAATGCCATGTGTAGCTCTACTTTCTTTTTGGTACTTTTTGCAACAGCAGAGGTTCTGTTATGTTTCAACTTCACTATAACGTCATTTATAATGATGTAAACACTGGAGTGTTTGCTACTTTTGATCATATATTGTAAGCTGATAAAATATTGTATGTTGAATAGTTTAATTCAGTTTTCAGTGCTTGGTAAAATAGTTAATTGGTGGCTTTATTTTAATTACAGCAAAGCATGTAAAGGTTATTTTGCAAAAAAGTGATGTCATCATCGGGGAATTCCTAAGCATTATGGAATGGGCCAGCTATATTGGAGTTTTCTTTTATCTAGTTGCAATCTCTAAAACACATTTCTCTTTTCATATGCTTATTACAATTAATTTCTCTTATTTAATCCAGCATATAACATTTGTATATCAAAATAGTTTTTTTGGGGGGGTTGGTCTGTGTGGGAGGGCAGATATATGGTCATTATATCTTTTGTCTAGTTGGGTAGTTATCTACAAAGTAGTATCTGTGTATTTAAATCTTAATTTAACAACAATAAAATTCTTTAAATTTGAGGAAAATAAAATAGCCATTTGAATATGCAAATGGCTATTTTATATCTAATATTTGAATTGTAAAAAAAAACTATGTACTTTATTCTGTGTTAAGAAAATTCAAAAAATGAATAAATAAAGGATATTTTATGTATACAATTTATTGTAATAGTTTTTAAATTGTTTGTGTGTTTAAATTATTGTATGGGAATCTTAATATTTAAAACCCAGTCCTTAAACATTAGCCTTAAATCAATTTCTTAATACATTTTAATAATCTAAAATAATTTTTAAATAATAATGTTTCTTAAATACATTTCTTCAATAAAACACTAACAAAATTTTAAATGTAAGAAACATTTATAATGAAACACTAAACATTATGTAAAATAAGCATCCATAATGAAGCACTCAAAATTATATAAAACAGCAACAAATTAATTAAATTAAAAACACAACAAACATTCATAATAAAACATCTTTTTTTCCTGGTTGTCTGCTCATGTGCACAATGATCTGTTTTAACTTTAAAAAAAAATGGTCAGAGAATTGTATAATTCTAAGCACAGAACAGCTTTGTGCTGCTTTCAATGTGCATATTGCCCAGCTTTAATTTAAAAAACATCAGAGACCACAAATTATCTTCATGAAATACACATTTCTACACTTTCTGCTACTAAGCAAAATGGCATATTTCTGGGGGAAAGAAATGCAACACTTTCTTTTTCATTAACTGGCAAACTCCTTAGTGGTATTACAATTTGCTGCAAGAAATCAAACATCACACACCAAGCAGAAATCACGAACATGACTTTCAAATTTATAATCCAGGTACATTAGTTGTTAGGAAGCTGCTATATTTACTCTGTTTGGTTTTTTTATAGTCTAGACCAGTGGTTCTCAACCATTTGACTAACACGTACCATCTAAACAAAAACTGAAAAACTTCAGTACCTCTACTACATTTTGCAATGATTATTTGTCATTTTCTCAATAGAAATATTTAAAAAAATAGTTTGCCATTTGCACAACCTATTGGCTATTTATATTAAATTTGCACATATAAAAAAGATTAAAAAGTGATTAGCATTTTTACTATCAAAATTTAAGTTATAATAATTTAATTCTAAAATTTAGTGTGAAACTTGGGCCTCTTTAGAGAAATCAATTTCTTATGTCTGTCCGGTCTTACTTCACTTAGTTTTAACTTTAAATTAGGATCCACTTTTAATTTGTTCTGCATTTATTTTTCAAATATAACATGAAAGAAAATACTTGTCCACCCATATAAGTTGCGCCAAAAAGGCAATAAAAATTTAATAGCTTTATTTGAAATGCCTTTAAATTCTTTTTTTCAGTCCAGCCAAAAGTTAACAAGTCTGTTATTTTTGAAATCTTCAGTTAGAGTTTGTTCATAGGAAATGTCTATCAATTGTTCTTTTTCTTTATGAGATTTTTGAATTTAGAAGTTAAAAATATTTTGCGTATCACCAGTTGAGAACTGCTGACTCTTTCCACTATGTAGATAGTGTAGAATTGTAAAAAGCATTTGGAAATCAAAGTGTACAAACAGTGGTGATGATGTATGATATTCCTCATATGTTAAGTAGTACAGTCAAAAGTCGTTAATCCGGACTCGCTTCGGTGATTCTGGATTATCGATTTTTCCGGATTATAGATCATCAGTTTAAATCTGGTAAGATGGCATGCAGAAATTCTAAAATTAAAAATATGAAACCGTAATTTATGAAATAAAGAACAATTATGATCTAAAGGGTATCAAAATTTACAAAATAAAGCTTAATATTTATTTGTTTACTTTATTACCACTTTTTGTTTGATGGGCATCGAAGCATACTTTCATTTTGTAGATCCTTTGGGAGCTCCAGCATCGGAAATTCTATTTGACATAATCGAAAGTTCAAGTTTACTTTTACAAAATTGCTCTTACAGTCTGCAAAAAATAATAAGCCGGATCCAAATCGAAGATTAAGGAACAACGCAATCATTGACATTAACTGAATAGCTAATTAGATAATTTTAGCTTATACCGTCCATTATACATAAAACGTGCACGCGAAAACATATTCTGCACTTGCGCACACGCATATGCGCAGTCATAAAAGTCTTACGCACACGCGTAAACGCCTATGCGCATGTGTCAACGTGGCGCATGCGCAGAAAGTTTTTAGCTTTGAGGTCCGGATTATGGGTGTCTGAATTAACGACTTTTGACTGTATTTTACCGTGTTTTTGGGTTTCTTCTTTGTTGCCCACCAGCGGCCAAGCGGTAAAGACGCTGAACACTGGTAGTTCGGTCTGAGGTTCGAATCCCGCGAACGGGCTGGCTGCATGGGCATTTTCGTGGTTTTCCGCATGTGTAACGTGTATACGAGCCAGTTCCCTTAGAAAGTCCTCCACGAAAGGCATCCCTCCCTTTAGGCAGATAGCCCTCGTGTGCTTTGCCATAACTGAATCCCTTCTTTGACTGTTTATAACTGTGTATTTTTCTGTGTGAGGTATGATTTGTCTCAGTAAAGATTCAAATTTTCTTATTCATCTAGCTTTGCTATTTAAAGATCTCTATTAAAAAAAAAAAAATACATTTCTTATTTCTTGCAATTCTAGGAACTGTCACAAGTTTAGAATTTTATGATTCATACTTGATTTCAAGCAGTGAGGACAAAACTATTTGTATATGGTCCACGAAAAATTGGCAGTGCATAAAAACACTTAGTGGCCACAAGTAAGTATCTTTATGTCTATATACATGCTCATCTTTGGACTTAAGTTATTCTACACATGTATGCATATATAGATTTATATAAAATCAGGCTATAATAATTAAATAAAATTTTAATGGTTAACATTCTGGTGGGAAGAATATATGTTCAAAACTACAACAAAAAGCAATTCAGTAAAATAATATAAAAAAAGGAATAGTTAAAAATTCTTTGATCTTTGTCAAGGAGCAACCGAAAAATTTTCAACAAAGCCATGTTTCTGAATTTGATTTTCTATTTTATCAAACTGTATATAAACTGCACTATTTATTTATTTCTATTTTATCAAACTCAAAAATTCCAAAACAAACTGGAGAGAAATACTGCAGACGATTTTATAAATTATTGCCAATTGCTTTTGAGTAAAAATAAAAACCCCAAAAAATATTTTTATTGCTTACTTCAGACGATTTTTGTTGCATAGTACGTAGTAGTATCTAATGGTGTCCCATCACTTATGTGAACCATTTTTTGCTCCGTTCTAAACAATTGTATTTTTATTAAATTAATTTTATATTTTGAGAAAATGTATGTTATGTAATAATTGTTACTAAATTTAAGTATGAAAACACACCCACAAAAAATTTTTACATGTTTTTTTTTTAAATTTATTTTATTACAGTTTCCTTTTGTAAAGCACAAGTGTCCCATCACTTTTTGTGAGACACTGTATTATCAAAGAACTCATATTATCAAGTGCGATTACGATTGCAAACACTACGTATTATAATAATGAGGTAAAAGTTACTTATAGGGTCAAAGTTTACAGTTTTGCTACTGTTGAGTAGATCGTCGGGCTATCGATATATATCGTAAGTCGGAAAGCATTATAAACATATCAAAACCAAAAAATTAAAAATACAATTTAAATGAAAAATAATGTCTTAAATATAATTCACAATTAAAACAACAATACAAATTTAAAATACACAAACGATATGTTAAACATTGCATATAAAATACATTACATCACAGCTCGTCATCACACATTATCTCATTTTCCTTTGTACACAACGATCCGTATTCGCTCGAAAAACATCAAAGCTCGGTGTCCATATACACATCCATCTATTTCCATTTTAAAAATATCAGAGAATTGCACAACCGCGGCACTGCGCGCTACATTGGCTCTGCCCATGTACACATCGATCTATTTTCACTTAAAAAACATCCTAGAATTGCACAAACTCGGCACCGCGCACAACCCCGGCATTGCGCACTACATTGGCTTTGCCCATGTACACATCGATCTATTTTCACTTAAAAAAATCCTAGAATTGCACAAACTCGGCACCGCATTGTTGGAAAATATAGCTTATTTTTAAACCTTTTACTGCATCATCTCTCCTCCTTGAAATGTTTATTTAGTTTAGTCCTTATTTTAATGTAATATAGTAGTTACTTCTACTTCTTTTCTTGCTGCCACTGTTTGCATTGAAAACGGACTGTTTCAACCTAATTGAGATGCAAAAACGAAACATGATTTACGTCATCTGAAAAGCCGATTCGTGCCGATAGCTGATTAGTTGCCGTGAGATGACGTCATTCCTACTTCTGCTATAAGTATCTCGCGTCGCTCTGGCTCATCTAGTTCCTGGTTTCCCGGCTGGTGAGTGAGCGGTTTCCAGCCCCTTCCAAAGGATGCCTTGATTCCAGTATGCGAGATGATGGTTCCAGATTGAAGTTCTTCGGTTCCGGGGGCTATCCTGTGAGTGACTGCCGTGGGCGGCGTCCATGTTTCTTCAAAGAGGGCGGAATTAAAAATACCTGAGTGGCGACGATTCCTTGTGCAAACGGAGTTAGGCCGATTTAAGTGTTTTCACATTTAAATTTTTTCAGGTGTTTTCTTGACCACTGATTATGGACTTATTGAATGGGTATCCAGTTTTACTCTTAGGCTGCATAGTCACTATTTAGGACATCTTCATTTTTTTTTTTTTTTTGTTTTTGTTTGTATAGAATGCCAGTGTTTTGGAGTACAGGTAAAAATATTTGATGAATGATGATTATGTTATGTTTTTCCTAGTGCTCTAATATTGTTGACATTTATTTTATGTGTTTTTATTTTTTATTATATTGTTAATAAATTGGTTAAGTTCAAAATCTTTTATTGTCTTCAATGTCTGCACAACATAACTCAGAGAGCTTTCATTGCTACTACTGCTAAATGTTTAATTTCTTTAAACTTTAAACTTTGCTTTAGCATCATTCTGGTTATGGGCCACTAGCTCCTGAGTTATTTTTAGTGCAGACTTTTGAAGTTTAAAGTTAATTTAGGACTTAAGAGATTGGGGGGCAATTTTTGTTAAAATTCAAATATGGCTACTGTTAGTGTCATGCATAATATTGCTAAACTTGATGCATGTAATTATTTTACATGGTCTAAAGATATGAAGTTTGTCTTAAATGAAAAAAATGCATGGCTTTTTGTTAAAGGTATTGAAAAATGTCCTGATTTGGATGATGTTAAGGGTATTACAAAAGAAATTATTGCCGACTATCAAAATAGAAGTCGATTGGCATTATCGTTAATTTATATGAATGTAAGCCCTGAATATAGAAATTTGATATGTGAAATTGATGACCCGGTAGTGGCTTGGAATACGCTTGGAAATTTTGCCCCATATTTCCAGCCAGATTATCGGTCAAGACATATGTCCCTGTTTTCAGAGTTCTTAAATTGCAAAATCAAGCCAAATGAAAGTATTAGTTTCTTTTCTTCTAGATTAAAACGCGTAACTGAACAGTTAGCTGATATTAATCAGGCTGTAAGAGACGTATATATATGTTTCCAGTTTCTTAGGTTCCTTCCAGATAAATTTGATCAAGTAGTTCAGAATATTTTGAGGTGGCCAGATGAAAAGTTCATTTTTAAAAATGTTGAACTTGAAATTCTAGCAGAGGAAACGCGTCTTAATTTAAGAGAGATAGATAGGGAAAACTCCAATAAGACTATAGAAGTTACAAAGTACTCACTGTGAACCCAAAAAATTTAAGCAGATTAAAGGGCTCAAGTGTTATAAATGTGGCCGTCCAGGTCATATTCAAAAATACTGTAGAATGAGAGGTAATTTTTCCAGATCACCCTCACCTGCTTCTTCTGTTTCCTCAGCTGTATCTAGTAGTAATAAAACATCTTCTAAGTGTAAGAATAAACCCAAGTTGAGTAAGAGTAAAAATAATTCCCATGCACAGTCCCATTTTATAGCTCAAGCCAATGTTAACAATTTGGAAGAAAATGATGATAGTTGGATCTTTGATACGGCTGCATCTCATCATTTTTGTAAAAATCGTGAATTGTTTGATACGATACTTTTTCTCCTGTGAAAAATGAGAATATGCTAGTAGCTATTGATGGGGTAACTTTTCCAATTCATGGGAAGGGTACTGTTAAAATGAAATTTGGGGATACGGAATTATTTTGCTTAAAGATGTGTTATATTCACCTGAACTGAGACGAAATTTAATATCTGGACCTAGGGTGGATATCAATGGAGCAAGATTTTATGGTAAAAATGGGCAAATTAAAGTTACTGATGATGAGAATTCAACTTTGTACAAGGCTAAGTTGATAGGAAGTAACTATCATGTGTATTCCCGAAAATAATCAAAAAGGGGGGCAAATCTGTAAAATTTGAGGCATCCACAGTTCAGCATAATAATAGTGAATTATGGCATGGTCGGTTTGGTCATATAAATTATGGATACTATTGTCAGGACTAGTAAGAGACATTCAGTTCGAGGTCTTCCTGTGTTAAAGCACTCACCTAATTTGTTTTGTGAACATTGCCAAATCAATAAGCAAAGATGAATCTCCTATAGACCTTTAGAAGGTATTCAAGTAAAGAGACAGCTTGAAAGGGTTTTTCTCTGATGTATGGGGACCTATTAACATTCCAGGTAGGAATGGTGAACGTTATTTCGTTTCCTTTATTGACGAATATTCTCGTTATGTGGTAGTGTACCCCATTGTGGAGAAAAGTCAGGTGTTTGAAGTATTTGAAAGGCATATAGCACGTGCGGAAAGATCTTTGAACCTTAAGTTGAAATACTTTAGGACTGACAATGGGCGAGAATATGATAATGATCAATTCAGGTCATATTGTAATAAAAATGGTGTAAAGCACGAATTTACAGATGTCTATACTCCAGAACAGAATGGAGTTTGTGAGAGATTTAATCAGACAGCTCTCAATAATGTACGTGCAATCTTACACGATAGTGGAATGAGTTCCGAATTTTGGTCAGATGCAGTAATGTATTTTGCATATTCATTTAATAGAATTTGTCATAAGGGCCAAGATAGAACCCCATTCGAATTATACACTAAGCGGAAACCATAAGTACCATCAGTACGTCACCTTAAGGCATTTGGAACGATTGCCTATGTGGGAATTCCAAAGGCTAAAAGAAATTCTAAACTTGATCCAAAGGCAACAAAGGGCCGATTGATTGGGTACAGTGTACGAACAAAAGGGTACAAGATTTGGTTGGAAAATGAGCAAAAGGTAGTAGAAACCCTAAATGCTACTTTTAAAGAGTCGATTGGAATGCAGAAAAGTGGCAGTGGAGCTGCACTGGGCACCCTTCCTGATTTGGAATCTGAAGAAAGGGTAGAGTTCCAATCTACTACTGATACTCCAGTTGGCTATTTTCCTGAAATAGAGGAAAGAAACCGATACCAATGTACCTTCTTCTACAATTGGCACTGACACTCAATCTACATTGAGACAAGTAACTTGGCTTCGTAAACCTGTTCCAAGGCCAGACGGCACTCGTACGGATGTGTATTATTTTGAGAGGGGGTCTAATCAAAGACTACGATCACCAAATGATGTAGAAAGGTATTGCACTGAACATAATATTCAGTATGATCCTACCTTGTTTGATTTCAAGGGAAGCAATACTTATAGTGGTGAAATCGACCCAACTGGTACTACTCCTTCAACGTCGTATACCCGAG